GAGGAGGAGGAGGAGGAGGAGGAGGAGGATGAGGAGGAGGAGGAGGAGGAGGAGGAGGAGGAGGAGGAGGATGAGGAAGATGAGGAGGAGGACGACGAGGAGGAGGAGGATGACGACGATGAAGATGATGAGGAGGAACAGCTGTGATGGGAGGACCAAAGCAAAGGGTCAGAGATACCAAGGAAGCTTTCCATTCACTTAGCGCTTTTGGGTCCTTTACGTGAATCTTCTCAAGTTATTTTTTATTCTAAAACTAGTCTTTTGATGAAAAAAATTATCAATCACCTGAGAGGTAGATCAAACCAAACAGAAAACAGGAAATGCAAGTTTGATCTGTTGTCAGGTGTCTGTGGGGAGGGCCCTGTCCCATCCTAAATAACATACGTACTGTGAGCTATTCAAATCAAGGGGACTCTATACATCATTTTGTTTTATTTTTTTTCTCTTTTTGAATATGTTGGTGATAATTCCATGACAGTTGGAAGATGGGGTTCCTTCTGTTTGAGGAATCACTTTGTATTTCCTTCTAGTGATAAAAATAAAATTATGAGAAGGCAGTGTGAGGTTTTAGTACATCATAGCACTTTATTTTATGAAAACATGTAGCAGGTTTTCCACAAAAATATTTGTTTTTAATCCAAAAGTATATTGTTTCATAATGGCACTCAGCGTGCAGCAGTGATTCGTGATGTGCTGGTTAATTTGCACAGCATCTCAAGACCAGCAAAACATTGTGGCAGTTTTATCTTTGTGAATGACAACCCTTCCTGTTTGGGGAAGTTGGCTTTTATGCCAGCTCTTGGCCAGTGGTCGGTCACCTCCAGGCCTGGTGTCTCCGGACCTGTGGTCTGCAGCACCTCTGTGCTGGCCTGGAGAGTGCTGAGGCGGGTGGAGGCTGGGGAATGGTCCCGGACAGTCGCCTCCCCTGCCGGGTTACAGATGGGCTTTGAGAACCACAGAAAGGGATAGGGTCATGGGGCAGGTGGGCTGGAGCCAGGGCCACAGGGGGTGCTCCAGGACCTCCAAGGTGGGGGTGTCACCTTAGGGCACTGAGAACAAAGAACAATCTGAAATGCTGGGAACAGAGAAGAGGAATTTGATCTAAGCCAGGGGTGCTCCCTGAGGTAGAGGCCTGTCTCTGATGGCATGAGTTTTAAGAGGATCCTGGAGGACCGGTACATCCTAGAACATTCCAGTTAGCCCTTAGGGGAAACTGATAGGATTGTTGCAGAAAGCATTTTTGGTGATGGGAGCAAAATTCCAGTCTCCTTGGTAGCATTCTAGGAGCGACTAGATTCTAGGATCTGTTAGATTCTAGGATTCCTGTGGGTGGAAGCCGGGGATGCTGTGAAACACCCTACAGTGCTCAGGATGGCCCCCACAAGAGAATGAACCAGCCCAAAAGGGCAGTGCTGAGCCTGAGAAACTGATCTAAGGCCTGGTCTAATACAGTAATGTGACGGTTCACTCGTGACAACTTCAGATTGTAAATGGACTTAGAATAGTTGTATTATTTTATTTAAAAGAGAAATAAATAGCTGGGTTTTCAGCAGGGCTCCTTTTCCCTATGCACTGGAATCCCCTTGGTAGATGTGAGCTACATGCTGTTGTGGGGATTCAGCACTGAAGTCTGGGTGCTTTTGTCTTCTCCAGCAGCCTCCTCTTGGAGTATGACTGCAAAGAAAAAGCCTTTTGTTTTGCAAAAGAGAAGCAGCTCAGTGACTCCCTCCACATCACCACAGCTTGAGTCAGATGCAGTGGCAGTCCACTGCCAGTGGAAGGCGTTCCTGCTGAGGGGAGGTGCAGGTGAGCTGGCACTCGATTGGAGCCCTTGCCTGCTGGGTTCTCCACTGGAGGACAGTGGGCACAGCAAAGATTCCCTTACCTGTACCTGGCAGCTCACATGCCGTGGGGAAAGGGGGAGTTTGTCTTGCCTTGCTGGCCATAGGCAGAACTGGAAATGAAGACATTTCACTGTGCCAGTGTTTCCATTTTCTCTTCGGTTGTGGCATCCCAGTCACTGCCACTTGTCCTGGAACCTAGGCTGTTGTTCTTGTGCCCAACGGGAGGATTAAGTAGAATCCTCAATCTGTACTCAGTTAAATGATCAGTACATCCCAGTTTCATTAGCAAATGGGTAATTCAGCAACTCATGACTGCTGCTTTCATTCTGATACAGAAATAAATCTTTATGCTCCTGACAACTTTCTGACTCTACTATTACCATTTCCTTGGGTGGACTTTGAGTATTTTCAAGGAAGCTGTTAAGAGTTTTTAAAAGGAGCCATGTGAGAAACGCTGTGGTGGTCTCTTTGGAATGTTTCAAGAATCAACTGTCGTTCCTGAGCACCAGGAAGTCTTTTTACTAGATATTTAATGTGTAAAACATGCCCATGGGCGAGTCCTGTGACAGCACAGCACCAAGCCTTGGGACTCAGGAGCCAGTTCTCGTTGACACAATGCCTTCCAAGCTGACACTTGGAGCATGTTAGCATTTGCTGTGTGGCTGAGGGGCTTGAGGTCCTAGTAGGGAGTAGAAAGATTCACCTACTTTTCCAGTGATATCACTCGATCTTAGCATCTGCTAGGAATGCTGGAGCTTACATGGATGAACAGTGACGGGTCCCAGGGCTGCAGGAAGTCAGCAGTACGTGTTTGTGTACGTGGTTTTCTCTCAGTTCACCCAGTGACCCTTCGCTGCGCTGGAGACCCTGCATTGAGCTCTGCCTTCTGTTCTCAAGTGGGTCTGGAGACTGGGGAACATTTTGGGAGTACAGGTGAAGTGTCTCAAATTGCCTGTTCCTTCTTTCTGAAAATGACAGACTGCAGAATACACAGACAGATGCACATGAAATTTTAATAAAGATAAAAAGCCTAAAATATACTCTAACTCTTAAAAAAACATGATTTTAAAAGACAAAAGGAAGGAGGCCCTCTTTGTGGCTGGAATGCTGGTTCTGAGCAGAGGCAGGGAGACGCGGCAGGGTGCTTGCTTTCCAGCTAGGTCAGCTCTCACGAGGCTCAGCATGCGAGGAGGTGGGACTGGCTTCTTTGCTTGTAACATCAGCAGGGGGAAGACAGCTGCCCAGAAGCATGGCGGGAAGCAGATGTGGTGAGGTGATGCACTGTCCTGCTTGTGAAGATGTGGAAGTCTAAGATCGTGCTGACTACCTGAAAGCCTGACACGGCATTTCTAGAGTCATGGACTGAAGGGACTTACTGTGCAGCCAGCCCAGGAGCCCGTCCCTGCTGCGCTGAGACTTGTGCGGAGTCCTTGCTGCTTTGTGGCTGTGTGCCTCAGCTTTCCAAGTAGGGGGCTGGATCGCTTTTTTCCATGAACATTCAGGGGTCTTTGATGCCTTTGTGACTTGTCATTCAGGGGATGGCTTCCACTGTTTAAGGCTGAGATGATCTCATAGGACAGGGTTCAACAAATATGGCCCATGGGCCAACTTGGCCATTGCCTGTTATTGTAAGTAGATTTTTATTGGAAGACAGCCATTCAATTACATGCCTGTGGCTGTGTCTGCTGCTGTGGCCACAGGGACCTCTGGTCTGCAAAGCTGAAAATATTTACTGTCTGACCCTTTACAGAGAAAGGCTGCCAGCCCCACTATAGATGAAAAGTGTCTGAACTCCACCTTATGTTAACATTTCCTCTGCTGGTCCGTACGATGGCTCATCACCCTGCACGAGCGTCAGACACACGCTGGAGGAGCAGAGCAGGGTGGCTGCGTCTCTACCTCAGCCTTCCTTCCAGCACCACCTGGTTTCTGCTTTTTGGCCCCTGCCCCACCTGTTTTGGAAGCAGTCCATCATGGTTCCTTCTCAATTTGTTAGGCCTCAAAGGGAGAATTCTTTCTCTGGCTTTGGAGTCAAAGAACAGGTTTCTGAGTACTGCAGAGTGTGGCTGACAACCTCGCTGATCCTGGGGAACGGTGGCTGCCATCTGATCCGCAGAGGCGTGGACCACACCTTCAGGAACGGCAGCCCCGGTGAGAGCACAGGCCGCTGAAATGCTTCGCAGGACTCATAGATGGCTGGTCCCGGAGCCGGGTCTCAGGGCGGGCTGGTGCGCACAGGCCTGGCCATCTTCTTCCAGAGGCCTGAGGAGGATGGTCACAGAGGGGACTGACTCCAGCTAGGACCTTTTCTCTCAGGGTGTCCTATCTCATCCAGTTTTGAGACCTCATCTTCCTGGGTTTTAGAAACTTTTGAGGTTGGTGGGGTGTAACAAGAACGTCTTAAATCCTCTGAAGAAAAAACAAAGTGAAGCATGAGAATGACAGGCATTCCCTCTCCTCGTTAAACCAGCTGCTTCCTGTTTCTCTTAGTGGTCCTTACGTTCTTACGGCACCAGGGTCTAACGAGGCAGTGCACGTGGGGAGGGGCGGCCTCCACTGACCACATTCCCATCTTTAGGAACGTGTGGGCTCAGCATTACAACTTTTAAATGTGAAATCAGGCTATTCCTCCTCCCTGCCTTCCTCCTTCCGGTAACGACTGTGGGTCTGTTCTCTAAGGGTATGGCTGTGTTAGGTTGCTCTGGGTTGAAATAAATTCTCGTGTTGTTCTTGGGTAGGTGTCTGGGCGAGTGTATTTGTTTCCTGCTTTTTTGTGTGTTTACTTCATTGTTTCAAGACCAGGTGTTCTATAAGCCAGTTTGATTGGGGGCTTCTGATTTGTTTTTATAGATGTTGATGTGCTAGGAAAACTTAAAATGATATATTGGCTGGGCGCAGTGGCTCACACCTGTAATCCCAGCACTTTGAGAGGACGAGGTGGGTGGATCACCTGAGGTCAGGAGTTTGAGACCAGCCTGCCCAACATGGTGAAACGCCATCTTTATTAGAAAATAAATAAAATGATACATTAATATTTCAGGTGACTTACCACAATATGAACATCTCAAACCCAAATTATGTTGGATTCATAATCCTAGCACAGTCAGGCACTGCATGATGAAGGACCGTGGGCATGACTATTGTCTCATGAGATTACAGTGGAGCTGAGGTCGGCCGTGACTTTTTCTTTCTTTTTTTTTTGAGACAGAGAGTCTCTCTCAGTTGCCCAGGCTGTAGCGTAGTGGTGCAATCTCAGCTCACTGCAACCTCTGCCTTCCGGGCTCAAACGATTCTCCTGCCTCAGCCTCTTGAGTAGCTGGGATGACAGGCGCGTGCCACCACACCTGGCTAATTTTTGTATTTTTAGTACAGAAGACGGGGTTTTGCTATGTTGGCCATGCTGGTCTCCAACTCCTGACCTCAAGTGCTGTGCTGGCCCCGGCCTCCCAAAGTGCTGGAAGAATTCTCTGTGTGTTTGTGCTGATGCCGGTGTATGAAAGTCCAGCGCATACAATTACCTACAGTTTATAACACTTGATCGTGACCATTTGTGATATTACTGGTTTATGTATTTACTGTTCTCTTCGTCATTATTTTAGAGTGTACTCCTTCTACTTATAAAACAAACTTAACTGTAAAACGGCCTCGGGCAGGTCCTTTTTAGGAGGTGACAGCTTTGTGTGTGTTACTGGGACAAGATGTGGAAGTGGAAGAAAGTGAAACGGATGACCCTGATCCTGTGTAGACCTAGGCTAATATGTGTGCTTGTGTCTCAGTTTTTAACAAAAGTTAAAAACAACAGTTTTAAAAACAGAAAAAAGCACTGAGAATAAGGATAGAAAGAGCTGGGCATGCTGGCTCCTGCCTGTAATCCAGCACTTTAGGTGGCTGAAGTGAGTGTAACATGAGGTCAGGAGATGGAGACCATCCTGGCTAACACCAAAAACCCCATCTCTAGTAAAAATACAAAAAATTAGCCAGGCGTGGTGGTACATGCCTGTAGTCCCAGCTACTTGGAGGCTGAGGCAGGAGAACTGCTTGAACCCAGGAGGTGGGGGTTGCAGTGAGCCTGGGTGACAAGAGCAAGAAAAAAAAAAAAAAAAAAAAAAGGATGGAAAGAAAACAGTCTTGAGCATCTGTACGGTGCGTTTGTATAATAAGTAAAAAAATATTAAAAATTTATAAAGTAAAATAGTTAGAGTAAGCTAAGGTTAACTGACTATTGAAGAACTAATGCATTGCTGTGCAACTTCCAGTCCTGCACGCTCGTTATGTTAGTGCCCTGCACAGGTGTACCCTTTCTTATCTCTTACACCATATTTTTACTGTAGTTTTCTATGTTTGGATGTGTTTTAGGTACACACAGCACTGTGTTACAGCTGCCTACAGTATTCAGTGACACGCTGTGGTGTGGCCCAGGCGTGCGGGACGCCGTGCCCTCTCAGTGTGTTCTAAGTACGTGCTAATCGCCTCACAAAGCGTTTCTCAGAGTGCATCTCCACTGCTAAGCGACACTCAACTGCGGTAAATTGCTTACAAGCCTGGAGTGTGTTTAGTGTGCGTGTCTTTGGAGGGGGAGGTGGGAAGGGCGGTAGATGCTGCCAGCTGCTGTCTTCTGGAGACTTTCCACATCAGAATGGCAGACACAGCAGTCGCGGCCAACGCAGAGCCCGAGTTGCTGTCATTGGCAAAGCTCTGGCCTCGGCCCTTCCCCTCAGGTGCGGTGGACACTCTTCCTTTGGTGTGAACCTATACCTGAAAAGCTCTTTTGCTTGTCTTTATTTTTTTTTTAGCATATAACAAAACATAGACCTGTTCGAAGTGGCTTGTTACCCAAGGGTGCCTCACCCTCATCTGTACCACCAGGAAGAGGAACTGTGAAGGCTCATTTAAGGGGCAGGAGTAGTAAAGCTGTCCTAGTCTAGCCAGAAATCCATCCTTCATGCACAGTGACATGTGGACAAGAAATTATGGTCAGTATGAAACTGATTACAGGTTGTAGATGGGTTTTATGGTACATCCCAGTCTTTTGCAAACTATTGTGATGAATACCAGTGCTCTTTAAGATTCAGCAGTTAGGGCGGTGGGGGCAGGATGGGGGTCTGGTTGCCAAAAGAGTTTGGGAAATGCTACTTTAAACAAATGGAGAGTCCAAAAGTTTTTTCATTTCAGGATTTGTGAATGTCTGTGAGTCCACTGTCCGTTACGAGTCTCCTAGTGAGAGACAGTCTCTGAGACTTCCTAAGTATTAAGTGATCAAGGCTCCTGCCATATGTTTAGTTCTGATAGAAGGCCGTTCGCAGGATCTGGGCAGCACTCCCTTAGATCTCTCCTGGCACCTCTGGAACTCCTCAGCAGCCCAGGTGCCAGGTGGTCTTCCAGCCTCTCTAAGTGCCCACCCTCCTGCCTCTTCCTCCCACTGCAGCTGATCTAGTGGGGTTTGCCCCTACCCACAGAGAGCCACATTTCCGCCTGAAGATGTACTTGTCAGTGGCTAGGCCAGGTTCATGTCTGTTTCCCCTTGGGGAATTCTGAAACCTTCCTGGCCTGGGAGTCTGCAACACAGCAGCACATGGCTGAGCTTCCTGTAGCAGTGCTTACTAAGTAGGCAGCAGCACCCCGAGGGCCCAGGGTGCTTACTAAGTAGGCAGCGGCACCCCGAGGGCCCAGGGTGCTTACTAAGTAGGCCGCGGCACCCCGAGGGCCCAGGGTGCTTACTAAGTAGGCCGCGGCACCCCGAGGGCCCAGGGTGCTTACTAAGTAGGCAGCGGCACCCCGAGGGCCCAGGGTGCTTACTAAGTAGGCCGCGGCACCCCGAGAGCCCAGGGCTGGGCAGTCAGCCCCACTTCCCAGCAGCTCTGTGGTAGTGGTGCAGGAGCAGCAGGGACATACCTTAAGATTTCTCCAGTGTCTGACTCTTACTTTGTTTCCTGAAATAATTAGAGAAAAGTCATTTAATGACAAAGAGACTGTGCACCTTGAACCCTACAGCTACCTCAGTCCAGGGTGCCTGCTGAAACCCTGCCTTTAGCCCACGTACGCTTCAGGGTGAGGGACACCATGGGTCCAGACACCGATGTGGAGATTAGCATTTCAGTTTGTGTGTACCCACCTGGCTTGAGACCGTAGTTGTGGAATGAGAACACTAGAAACCTAGCTGCATGTGAGTCAGAAAGAGAAGGACGGACGTGGGAGAAAGCAAGCCAAAGCCACCCTGGGGAAGAGCTGGGTGACACGCGCAGGCCGGGCAGCACGGCTGGTGAGCTGCAGGCTGCGGCCCTGCCTGACACTGGGAGTGCGTGGCTACCTGTGGCTACCTGTTGGTCTGTGCGGATGATGACAGGTTTCAACTCTGATTCTGAAAGATACAATGTTCTCAGGCACTTCTTTCAGTGAACTCCAGACAGGAGTAATTAACTACCTTGAACGCTTTGGGGGAAGAACCTGGGTGGGTGTGAGTGAATCAAAAGTAAACAGCGGTGCACTATACTGGCCGTTAAATACTCAGGGCTGTCAATAACCCTGTGCTTCCCAATTGTAGCATACATTCTGTGTGAATATGCATAACCAGGGTGACCACCCAGTACCCAGCACGTAGCCTGCCCTGAGCACCGAGCATGCCTGGCTGCGCCCCTCTGTGCACTCATATGCACATATATGTACATAAGTTTCGTAGCAGAACATGGCTGCCCAGGGGCTGCCTATCTGGGAAGTGGCCTGCTTGGCTCAGCAGCAGGTGCAGCAGCCACAGCACCTGCCCCCCCGCCCGTCACCCTGTGAGCCACGTGCAGGGCACAACCTGGCCTGCTCCCCAGAGGCACCTGTTTGGGGCTTTCCTGACGCTTGTGCTTTCACAGCTCTCTTTGAAGCAGATGTCTTGGTGAACTCTGTAGACTCGTTTATGCCTGTTGTCACAAGAAAGCTTTGTCAAACCGACAGTGAAGCAAAACGTCACCCAGCTGCTTAGCCTAGGCTTCATGAACCCACAGGTAAACAGGAAGGAGTTGGAGGGAAAAGCTGTGATTTTAATGAAATGTTACCTCCTGCTGATGTATTAAAATGTCTAACATAAAGATCATGTGATTTGTAATCGCTTTACTGAGGCACAATAATATACATAAACCATTGTAATGTGCATGCAGATGAGCACGGACAACGCACATGGCACTAAGAGATAAAATGTGAAATTTCAGAAACTCGCCCGTGCTAGAGGCAGGCCACTCGGCCTGAGGCCTTGGGAGGGTATGACCTCACTTCTCTGTTTTTCTGGGTATTTCACAGAGAAGTTTGAGAAGCGTTGGGGAGTCAGGATTCAGATGCAGGCACTGCAGAACACGAGGCCTGATTTAATGTCCCGCCTCTTCCATTTATTAATCAGGCGACTTTGAGCGAGTTTTTTGAAGTTTGAAGCCTCAGTTGCATGTCAAATGGGACTTACTCAGACCATCTCTCTACAGGTTTGTAGGTAATAATGGATGGAAAAGTGTTCTGTCTTTTGTTAACGTTCTCAAATGTCAGAGCTATCCAAGGAGTTCAGTGAGCAAAGCTCCAACCCATATGCTAAGTCTCACAGAACCTTTAGGATTTAAAACCCATGGCAAGACTTCCATTACTGGACAATAAAGAGTAACAGAATCTGGAATTAACCTCCCAATGTGAACAACCAGAGAACTGGACAAAATATAGTAAGTAACTATATGTCAAATGTTGGAAAACAGACCATGGAAGACTGTCATCCCTGAGAGAGGAGAAGCAAGTGAGGTGAGCCCTGTGATCAGCCTGGGATTCGGCCTAGAGAAAGTTTTGGCATCACAGAGAAAGGAAGGGGATCCAAGCAGCGGTCACGCTGAGTGAAGGAAACAGACTGAAGTCGGGGGGGGCAGGGGCAGCTGGAATTTGTGGGGCAGAGAACTGAAGCGGAGGGAACTGTGCAGAGGAGGAACTCCCAGAAATCTGTGTAAGGGACCCCTTGGGCCTGTGGATGGAAACAAGCTGTGCATGCATCAGGTGCACCCCGCTAAGGCCAGGCAAAGAAGAACATTGAGGAGTTGAACAATTTCCAGAGCCAGAGTAGAGAGATCCTGTTTAGCAACAGGCCATTCCATAGAAACCCCAGAAAGGGCCAAGCATGGTGGCTCACTCCTATAATCCCAGCACTTTGGGAGGCTGAAGCGGGCCGATCACTTGAGGTTGGGAGTTCAAGACCAGCCTGGCCGGCATGGTGAAACCCCAGCTCTACTAAAATACAAAAATTAGCTGGGCATGGTGGTATGCACCTGTAATCCCAGCTACTCAGGAGGCTGAGGCAGGAGAATCGCTTGAACCAGGGAGGCAGAGGTTGCAGTGAGCTGAGATTGCTCCACTGCACTCCAGCCTGGGTGACAGAGCGAGACTCCATCTTAAAAAAGAAAGGAAAGCACCCCCAGAAAGGCCATGCCGTAGAAGTAGGGCAAACTTAACCCCAGAATAAAGGCTACTCTAAAGCCACCTGGAAACAAGCCTCTGTAAGACATTCAAGAATGATTTGAATAATCAAAAAAGTGACCCATAACTTAGAGACAAATAATCAAATAGAAAAAGACCCAAACGTGTGAGTGATGAGGAAATAGCACACAAGGACCTTAAAATTGTTCCACATGTTCAGTGATCTACAGGAAAATGTCAAGATAAGACAGAAATTGGAGGATCTAAGAGAGAACTAAACCAAACTTCTGGAGATGATAAAACAGTATCTGAAATAAAAATTTGGTTGAACACATTTAATGGTAGATTAGATGCTGCAGAAGAAAAGATCAATGACCTTGAATGCACAGCAGCAGAATCTGTCAAAAAGGAAGAGAACAGCCTGAAAAAGCCAAGAAGAGCAGTATCAGTCTAACACATGCATAACTGGAGTCCCGGAAGTAGAAGAAATGGAGGGACAGAAAAAAAATATGAAGAAATAATGGCAAAAAGTTTACAAGGTTGACAAAACTGAAACCCAGAAAGACAAGAAGCTTAACAAACTCCAGAGAATCAAAACACAGCCATACCAAAGCACATCATAATTAAATTGTCCAAAAACAGTAATAAAGGGAAAACATAAAGGGCAGGAAGACACGTTCCACGCAGTGTAACACAGATGAGAATGACTGCAGTCTTCTTGTCTGAAACTACACAAGCCAGAAGACAAAGGCATGACAGCTTTAAAGTCATGAAAGAAAAAATGTAACTGTCAATCAAGAAGTCAAATATATTCTTCAGCCAATATATTCTTCAAAAATGACGGTGAAACAAAAACCTGTGCAGACGAACACACACAGAGAGAATTCAGCACCTGCAGACCTGTGCCACAGGAGATGTTAGAGCTGCGCCACAGGAGACGCTAGAGCTGCGCCACAGGAGACGCTAGAGCTGCGCCACAGGAGACGCTAGAGCTGCGCCACAGGAGATGAGACGTTGGAGCTGCGCCACAGGAGAGGAGACGCTGGAGCTGCGCCAGAGGAGAGGAGACATTGGAGCTGCGCCAGAGGAGAGGAGACGTTAGAGCTGTGCCACAGGAGAGGAAACGTTAGAGCTGCGCCACAGGAGACGCTAGAGCTGCGCCACAGGAGATGAGACGTTGGAGCTGCGCCACAGGAGAGGAGACGTTGGAGCTGCGCCACAGGAGAGGAGACGTTAGAGCTGTGCCACAGGAGATGAGCTGTTAGAGCTGCGCCACAGATAAGCCGTTAGAGCTGTGCCACAGGCGCGCCACAGGAGATGCTAGAGCTACGCCACAGGAGATGAGCCGTTAGAGCTGCGCCACAGGAGATGAGACGTTAGAGCTGCGCCACAGGAGATAAGACGTTAGAGCTACGCCACAGGAGCGCCACAGGAGACGCTAGAGCTGTGCCCCAGGAGACGCTAGAGCTGTGCCACAGGAGAGGAGACGTTAGAGCTGCGCCACAGGAGAGGAGACGTTAGAGCTGCGCCACAGGAGACGCTAGAGCTGCGCCCCAGGAGATGAGACATTAGAGCTGCGCCACAGGAGCGCCACAGGAGATGCTAGAGCTGCGCCACAGGAGACGTTAGAGCTGTGCCACAGGATGTTAGAGCTGAGTTCTTGTGGCAAAGAGAAATGGAGGGTGCTGGAGGCAGATGTGCAGGTAAATACAAAATACTTGCAATATCTAAAACAAGATAATATTTGAGCGCAGAAATAACGTTGTGCAGTTCACAGCATATGTGGAAGAAGTAGAAGGTCTAACAGTAACTTAAAGGATGGGAGAGAAGTGAAGTGAAGCGTGACGCAAGCCACTGCCATTACACTGAAGTTGCGTGATAGTAATTCGAGGTAAATGCGCTAAGCTGAAGGTGATTATGGTAAATCCTAGATGCTGCCCTCATACTGAATTCGTCCAGTAGTAATTAAACGTACACTGTGTTGAGTTGAAGATAAGTATGGCAAATCCTAGAGCGACCACTCAACAATAAACCAAAGAAGGACAGCCAGGAAGCCCGTAGCGGAGGTAAAACAGAACCCTAAAAAATCCAAAATTAGGCAGGCAGAGAAAAAAGTAAAAAGCAGATGGGAAAAACAGAAAACAAATAGTAATATGCAGTTGAAATCCAACCCCACCAGTTATTATGTGGAAGGGCACGTCAGTGGTCTAAATACTCCAATAGAAACAGACTGTCAGACTAGACAGAAAGCAAGACCCAGCTGTGTGTCAAGACACAAGAAAGGCACTTGAAATATGCAGACAGGTTAAAAGTGAAGGATGGAATGCATAGGAAGTGAAGGGTCTTCCTGTTGGACACCTGGTGGCCACCAGCAGGCCCTGGCACAACTAGGCACAGCTGGAAGATGGTAGATACTGTGGATTCTGCCACTGCACAGAATCCAAATTCAGTGTGCTGTCTATGCAGCTTGGTAACTGGTCCTCTGGCTGTCTGGAATGTTCTCCCCTCAAATCCCAAGACAGATTAGTGTCTCATATGTGTTCCTGCTACATGTTACACCTGGCTTCATGTCCAAGCTCCAATAAAGCTTCCACCTTGCCCCTCTACGTCCCATTTTCCACAGAGCATCCAAAGTGGCCTTTACAAGTATAATGGAACACGTCCCTCCTCTGCTCAGAGGCCTTTGGTAGCTCCCCATTTCATGATGGACAAACCCTAGAGTCCTGAGGGTCTCCCTGGCTCCGAGGGTTCCCTGTCCCTCCCCTCCACCTCTCCCTCATCATGCCAGGGACACACTTGACTCGGGGCCTTGGTTACTGGTCCTCTGGCTGTCTGGAATGTTCTTCCCTCAGATGTCCATCCCTCCTCCCTGTCTGTTCAGCATCGCCCCCTTGCCTGAGCACCCTCTTGCTGCACCAGCGCCTGCCCATCCCCCACAGGCTCTCCTAGTCTCGCCCTGTCATCTGGTCCTTTTTCCCTTTGCACTGGCCACTGGCCACACCTGCCACACCGGCCACACCTGCCACACCACACACCACTCACTCACTGCTGTCTACTGTCCACCCATCTGCAGTGGACGGGTCCTGAAGGCAGGGCTTTGGTCTGCTCTGATGTGCACCAAGTGTCTAGAACAGAGTGAGGCACACAGCAGGTGCTCAGTAAGTCTTCTGTTGGCTAAATCGATTGCGTGACCCACTGAGTCACAGAGTGTTAGCAAGAAAGGTCCTAAGAGATGAGCTGGGCAGCCCTCCCTCCACAGCCCGTGTTGGAGATCACGAGTTAATGGCAAAACTGGGGCCGGCGTTCTCATGACCCGTGTGTTTTTTCAGGGAGCTCTGAGCAAGAGAAGAGGGGAAGGTCACATCAGTTGGCTGTGCCAGCCAGTGGGGCTGGGCTGACGTGTGGGAAAGGAAGGCCTGATGGCTTCTTCTCAGCCGCTGCTTCTGAGCCGCGTGGACCTGGGGCTTACTGGGTTTTTCTGCCTCAGTTGTCCCATTTGTGATGTGGAGGGAATTGGTGGTCAAAGCAAGTCCCTTCTGTGACTGCAGCCACCATCCCTCCTCAGGGTTAGGTGGGTAGCTTTGAGAAAGCACTTGGAGGAGTCAAGAACACACGATGGAAACCGACTTACACGTGGTGACAGACGCCTCCCTCCCAGACGGGAAAGGACTTGGTCTCGGAGAACAGCCTTGTGCAGGGGCGGGACACCTTTATACAGGCTGCGACAAAGAACGGGGGCAGTGCTCGCCAGGGGCTCCTGACGCTGCACTCCTGCCCCTCCTGAGGCTGTGCCCGTGCCCGAGGAGAGGGCCCGAGGTCTGCAGGCTGGCTTCCTCTAAGGCCAGGGCGGGTCGTGTTGTGGAGTGGGTGAGTGTCTCCTACTGACACCGCTCTGGCTGGGGTCAGCGAGCCCTCCGCAGCTGTGCCTCACATGCTGTGGCTGTTCTGACCCCCGTGAGAGGTGGCACAGCCCCCGTGGCTCACCGGTCAGCCTGGTCACCAGGCTCCCTGCCTGGGATTGGGAAGTCTTGGGCCCCGTCTGGCACCTCATGGTTTGGAGGCTCCTGTGGCAAACCCAGCTGTGGCCCAACAGCCCTAGCTGGAGGCACAGGCTGTGTTGGGAGGGGCACCCTGAGGCCAAGCCCTGACTTACCCAGCTCACAGCGTCTGCCTTTGAACCCTGGCCCGCAGTCACAGCTGTGGGCGTCCGTGCCGGGTACACAGGTACCTCCGTTCTGACAGGGGTTTTCCGAACAGTTCCCAGGGGTGTCTGAAAACAGATGTCACAAGAGGTTAGTCACTGGGACCCCAGGACAGGCCTGCCTCATGGACACGCTGCTGTCCCTTCCTCGATGACCTGGCCTGATGCAGGGTGGCCGTGCTCTCCCCCGTGGCGTGCTGCGGTGGCCTCCTAAACACCTCTGGGCCCTAGAGTGTGGTCCCAGTTCAGGTGCAGAGAGAGCAGAGGAGACAGGCCTCAGCGTGCCCAGCTCTGACCTCATTACTGGAAGGAAGATGAACAAGGAGGAGGAGGAGGAGGGAGGGAGGGAGGGAGGGAGGAGCAGGGCCTTCAGTGAGAGCCTCCTCTAGCCTGGGGCCCCTCCCCTAGCCCTGCCCTTTGCTGACTTTGCCCCTGAACAGGGTTTCTGCTGCTCGGCTCCTGAGGCCCCTCCTGGTCCTGAGGCCCCTCCAGGGCCCTCTGTGCAGAGCTGCCTGGCCACACTGGCCACAGGGGCTGGGCGGTCAGCAGTGACACAGGAAGGGGCCAGCTCACATTTCTCCATTTGTGTTCACTCTGTCCTTACTTTTCTCCTTATGATTATTTTTTAGCTTTGTTAAGATTCCTGTTTTTGTTTTTTTTTTTTTTGAGACGGAATTTCCCTCTTGTTACCCAGGCTGGAGTGCAATGGTGCGATCTCGGCTCACCGCAACCTCCGCCTCCCGGGTTCAAGAAATTCTCCTGCCTCAGCCTCCTGAGTAGCTGGGACTACAGGCGCGCACCACCATGCCCAGCTAATTTTTTTTGTATTTTTAGTAGAGACGGGGTTTCACCATGTTGACCAGGATGGTCTTGATCTCTTGACCTCGTGATTTACCCGCCTCAGCCTCCCAAAGTGCTGGGATTACAGGCGTGAGCCACCGTGCCCGGCCCCTGTTTTAATTTTTAACTTAACATTGAAAAACACAAAAGAGTAAGAATTGTGCCCACCCCACCATGTCTGATACTGAGTAAGGCCCCATCTCCCTGAACCATCCAGTCCAGCACCCCCCACCCACTCCTCCTCATCTGCCCTTCACAGCCTTCCCGTGCCCACCCCATGATGCGGCCACCCCAGGCCTTGCTGTCCGTGCTGGTCCCGAGCCCTCCTCCTTCCTCACTGGATTCCCTTTGACTTTTCTCCTTTCTCTGCCCATCCTCTGGGACTTTCCTTGTCTTTTTGTGTTTTTTTTTTTTTTTTTAAATTGAGATGGAGTTTTGCTCTGTCACCCAGGCTGGAGTGCAGTGGTGCCCTCTCGGCTCACTGCAACCTCTGCCTCCTGGGTTCAAGCCCTTCTTCACCTGAGCCTCCTGAGCAGCTGGGATTACAGGCACCCGCCTCCACGCCTGGCTAATTTTTGTATTTTTAGTGGAGACAGTGTTTCAGCATATTGGCCAGGTTGGTCTCAAACTCCTGACCTTACATAATCCGCCTGCCTCGGCCTCCCAAAGTGCTGGGATCACAGGCGTGAGCCACCACACCCGGCCGTCTTTTTGCCTTTCTTGATATGCTTAAAATGAGTTGTGGGCTTTAAAAAAAAAAAGAAACCCTTTATTATGGAAATGTTCAAACTCACAACATGTAAGCACAAAGGGCTCCACGCACTCAGCGTCAACACTGGTCCACGCTGGCCAGCCCGGCTTCGTCTGTTTTCATCTCTGTCGCCCTCTTTCTCTTGTTGCAGAATTTGAAAGCAGCTCAGATACCACTGCTCCTGTGAACGCGGCAGCGAATCTAGTACTTTACGTAACCACAAATTGTTACGATTAGAAATTAGCAGTCGTTCCTCAGCATCACGAGAAATCCCAGGTCGTGATCCAATTTCCCCGGTTGTCTCAGGAGTGTGGTCATTTAAGGTCTCACCTGATGAGGGCTCCTAAGGGTCTCCACGTTGCTTGGTTTCATGTGTCTCACGTCTCCGTCATCCTCCTGCTCTATTCACGGAAAACACGAGGTGCTGTGGAGTCCCTGCCTGGATGTGGCTCACTGCTCGCTTGTTCCCACCCCCGTTTCCTGTAAACTCTGATTACAGAGAGGGGCTTCCTAGGATTCAGGATCAGAGGGTCTTTGCAGGGCTGCTTCTGAGGGATGCTCGTGCAGCCCCAGCCACCCCAGGCGGCCTGTGATGTGTTTGAGTCCCACCGCAAGACACGAGGACTGGTCACTGGTCCAGTGCTGGCAGTTTGACCAACCCAGGATGAGGTCCCCGATGGCTCGAGCAAGGCATCGAGATCCCTGATCCAAGGACTGTTCCCCCATCGGCCTGTCTGACCCTGTCGCTCCTGCCCTCGCCTGCTGGAGAGTGGTCTGTGAAGACAGGCTTTCCCTCACCTGCCCGTGGTCGCCTGGGACTGTGGTCCACACAGGCAAGGCAGGGTGAAGGCTCCATCCTGCTCCTTTACTCGTGCTCCTGCAGACTGAGTCAGTCCTCGGAAAGCTCTAAAGTTGCCCACTAAGTTGCTTTTTCTTTCTGAGTATCAGATGAAGACAGAGAGGCTGATGTGTTTGATGGGATTCTGTCCTTTGCTGTCAGCACTTTTCCTGATGCTCAGTGGATTCTGTCTCTGGCCATAGAGCCCTGCAGGTTGGCTCCCCGCCCTCAGGACGTGGTCTGCTGTTTTCAAAGCTTGCTTTCTTTTTACACAGCATGTCCTGGGCTTATTTTGTCCACATCCTACTTCAGTCTTGGAATCACCCATTTCTCCAAAGATCACTGGTTTCCTGGCGAGAACGAGATCTAGACCCCATAGCCTGGGCACTCAGGCTGCTCCCTATGATGGGATGTCACAGCTTTGGGCCTTAAAATGAATTGAACTAGAAAGCTAGCCGGGCGCGGTGGCTCACGCCTGTAATCCCAGCACTTTGGGAGGCCGAGGCGGGTGGATCATGAGGTCAAGAGATCGAGACCATCCTGGTCAACATGGTGAAACCCCGTCTCTACTAAAACTACAAAAAAAAAAATTAGCTGGGCATGGTGGCGCGTGCCTGTAATCCCAGCTACTCAGGAGGCTGAGGCAGGAGAATTGCCTGAACCCAGGAGGCGGAGGTTGTGGTGAGCCGAGATCGCGCCATTTGACTCCCAGCCTGGGAAACAAGGGGAAAACTCCGTCTCAAAAAAAAAAAAAAAAAAAGAAAGCTAGATTTTTTTTTAATAAATATTACGAATTCATACTAATATTTCCATTTCAAATTAACAGAATCAAAGGACAGACAAGATTCTTATTTATTTATTTAAAGAAGGAGTCTCACTCTGTCACCCAAGCTGGAGTGCAGTGGTGCAATCTCAGCTCACTGCAACCTCCGCCTCTCGGGTTCAAGCAATTCTCCTGCCTCAGCCTCCTGAGTAGCTGGGATTACAGGCACCTGCCACCAAGCCCAGCTAATTGTTGTATTTTTAGTAGAGACGGGGTTTCAACATGTTGACCAGGATGGTGTTAAATTCCTGACCTCAAGTCATCCGCCTGCCTCAGCCTCCCAAAGTGCTGGGATTACAGGCGTGAGCCACCGTACCCAGCCAAAACAAACAAGATTTTTAATTTGTTTCATATTATATTTTCAATTCTTTACACTGAAAATCTTGGTGGCATTAACAATTATTTTCTTTATCCTAACATATACATGTAACCATTTCAAAGTAACAATACAAAAGATCATGGAGGACAGCCTGAAATTTCTTGGCAATCCTTTAAGGAACTGCCAGACTTTTTTTTTCCCCCAAAGCAGCTACACCACTTTACATTCCCAGCAGCGGCGCAGAGGGTTCTATCTCTCCGTGTCCTCACCAACGCTTATTATCACCTGACGTTTTTAATTCCCACCACTCTAGTGGCTTTGGTTTGCATGTCCCTGGTGACTAATGATGGGAAGACGCCATTGTACGTCTTCCTTGAAGAAATGTCTGTTGAGCGCCTTTGCCATTTTAAATGGGTTGTGTTTCTATTATTCAGTGGTAAGAGTGCTTCAGTTTAGATACAGGTCTCCGCTCAGGTGTGATTCGCAGCTGTTTCCTCCACCCTGCAGACCATCACTTCACTTTCTCCGCAGCGTCCTTTGAGGCACAGAAGTTCTAAGTTTTGATGAAGAGCAGTTCATGTATACAGATACGTTTGTTACCGCTCGTACTTTTATTGTTGGGCCTGATCCAAGGTCATGCCAAATCCAAGGTCATGAAGATTTACTCCTGTGTTTTCTTCTAAGAGTTTTGGTTTTAGCTCCTAACATTAGATCGTTGGCCCGTCTGTGCTACGAGCCTCCTTCCTATGGTAGGAAGGGTCCAGCCTCATTCTTTTGCACGTGGATATCCAGCTGCCCCAGCACCGTCTGCTGAGAAGACTATTCTTTCTGCATTGAATGGTCTTGGCCCCCTTGTTGAAATCAGTTGGCCATAGATGTGTGGTTTATTTCTGGACTCTCAATTCTTTTCCATTGATCTAAATGCCTATGCTTCAGCCATTACCACACTGACTCCATTACTGTTGCTTTGCAGCACGTTCTGACACGAGGAGCTGTGAATCCTCCAACTTTTTCCTCTTTTTCATAATCGTTTTGCTATTCTGGGTCCTTTGCAATTCCACATGGATTTTAGACACTGTACACAATTGTCCAGGGACGTCTTAACAGCAACCCTACAGAGTGTTTTGAAACATATAAAAACTTTGACAAATGATTAAGTACAAATAACCCAAGAAAAAGTCAAAAGGCATGATCAGGCATTTCACAGAAGAGCCAGCACCTCTGGTGGATGCCCATGAGGAGATGCTCAATCACATCAGTGCTCAGGAGATACAAACCCAGATCCCAGGGCTTGCAGACACCCGTTCTGCCTGCGGGGTCTCAAACCCGGCACAACCTAGTTCTGGGGAGGCCAGGGATTAACTGCACCTCTTAGTCACTGCTGCAGGAGTGGAGACTGCTGTCACCACTTGGGAAATGACTTGGCAGGCTGGGCGCGGTGGCTCACTCCTGTAACCAGCACTCTGGGAGGCCAAGGTGGGCAGATCACGAGGTCAAGAGATCGAGACCCTCCTGGCCAACATGGTGAAACCCCATCTCTACAAAAATTAGCTGGGTGTGGTGGCACACACCTGTAGTCCCAGCTACTCAGCAGGCTGAGGCAGGAGAATTGCTTGAACCCAGGAGGCAGAGGTTGCAGTGAGCTGAGATCGTGCCGTTGTACTCCAGCCTGGGGCCTGGCGACAGAGCGAGACTCTGTCTCAAAAAAAAAAAAAAAAAAAAGAAGAAGAAAATGACTTAGCGAAGTTCTCGTGTAATTTGGGCATTCACATGTCCTCGTCCTAGATCTAGCATTTCCACCTGCACACGCCTGGAAACCCTGTACGGGAGTGTCCGCTGCAGCACTGCTCATGCCGGCCAAACACAACCTACGTGTGCTCCGCAGAGGGGAAGAGCCGGTGAGTTCACCCAGCGGAGCCTGCTCGGTAGTGGGTGTGATAAGCCACGGCCTCCCAGACTGCGTGGGCCAACCTCTGTCTGAGGATGCGGGGGGAAACACAGGCCTAACGGTCACGCGGCGAGACACTTATCTTGCAAAGAAGACTCACTGACTGTTCTGCCACACACACACGTGTGATAAAGTCACTCTCCCCACCTTCCACTCTGAAGAAAACAGGAATTCTAAGCACAAAGTTCAGGATCATGGTTAGGTGAAGCGGGGAACAGGGAGTACCACAGCAAGACACAAGGCATTTGTCACATTCTAGTTCATAGCGGGGGTTCTTGACTTAAGGCCACTACTGAAAGGCCAACTAATGAAACAAAAGGTCGCTAGTGTGCGGGCCAACATGAACCAAAGATCGTGACTGGTCTGCACACTGAGGGCCCTCATGATGCCGCTTCGCCTGTTCACTTAACGCCATTTGCACCCACCGGGGCATGAGCCTCTACGCTGGCGAACGCTGCCTGCCTGCAGCCCGAGCCCTTCTTGAATCTCCCCTGCTGAAGAGACCCAAGAGGGCTACCACGGGCCCCCCAATTTCTGAGTTCTCGGAAATGAACACCTAGTATTTAAAGGGGCTGACATAATGCAAACCATCTGATGAAATGTTTGTTTTTGGTCACTTAAAGGTCAACTTGAGAGTCTTCACTATGAATGGGCCAGACTTTAATTAAGAGAAGCCTTGACTCACGGCAGTGGACGCACAAACCCGTCCTCACAGGGGCGAGGGGCAAGTCCAGACCTCATATGGTGCGGGAGGGTGTGAACTCAGGGGTCGGTGAAGCCAAGCTTGCAAACACACCCTCTGGCACCGCAGGGGCCCTTGATATACACGGGTGTCCGGGAGAAGCTGGGGGCAAGGCCTTGCGGGCGAGACCACACGCAGCAGCTCACACCGTACCCAATACATGGGCCCTTTTTTTTTTTTTGAGACAGAGTTTCCCTCTGTTACCCAGGCTGGAGTGCAACGGTGCGATCTTGGCTCTCCACAACCTCTGCCTCCTGGGTTCGGGCAATTCTCCTGCCTCAGCCTCCTGAGTAGCTGGGATTACAGGTACCTGCCACCATGCCCAGCTAATTTTTTGTATTTTTAGTAGAGACGGGGTTTCACCATGTTGACCAGGATGGTCTTGATCTCTTGACCTCGTGATCCACCCGCCTCGGCCTCCCAAAGTGCTGGGATTACAGGCGTGAGCCACCGCGCCCGGCAGTACTAGGCCTTTGGGGCTGGGTTGAGGGGTGGTCCCAGCCGGAGTCTGTGGTGTGACTCGGGGGCTGGAAGAGCCTTCTGTGGAGGACAGAGCCCAAAGGATTAAAGCCGGGGGGGGGCGGTCGAGTCTGACTCAGGGTGAGGAGCACACACGTCTTCGTGCTGCCTGGAGGGGAACTGCTTCCGGGCACTCTTTCTGCAGGTGCTGGGCAGATGCCTCGATTCTCACGAGGCAGGGCCCTGGACTAGTAGACAGTTCGGGTCCTATGTGGCCCCAGTGTCCACTGTGCCCAGCTGGTCCTCAAGCTGGGGCCCCACGGTGGCTGCCCCTTTGCTTCACCCATCCTGACTCCACCGGCTCCTCTTCGGAGAAGCGAGGGGTGAGGCGTCTAGAGGTAGGGGCTGGGGTAGGCTCTGTCACATGTGGAGGCAAAGGAGGGGAGGGGAGGGGAGGGGAAGCAGCGGCAAAGCCAGCCTCTCCAGCGCAGACCCTGGGTGGTTTGGGTGGGTCCACACCACCTGCCCTGGCCTGTTCCCATCTGTGGGCTCCCACTGCTTGGTGGTGTGGCTTCCTCTTCCCAGACCGGGGTGCCTGGGGCTCAGCCTCCCCTCAGGGAGACTCTGTGCTTCCTGGTCCCTCACCAGGGGTGGGCCCTCCTGCCTGCAGCCTCTAAGGCCCCTGAGAACAGTCAGTCCCAAAGTCCCCACCGGCGCCGCCCACTTACTTTCCATGTCCCTGTCGCCGTGTTCAGGGAGCTGGAGGGCCAGGCTGCCCTGCTTGGGGGCTTCCTCCGTGTTCTTGAGCGGCGCCATGGCTGTGGGCTCTAGGAGAAGCGAGGTGGTGACCGCTCCGCACTGCTGCTTTGCACCCAGGATGGCCCCGGGGCCACCGTCTGAGCATCTCTATACCTTGAGAGCAAGAAAGTCCCTGGCGGGGACCAGGCTCCCTGCGTGGCCCTGGCGCCTGTTGGCCCCAGCACTGCCTCCCCTGACGGGCTGGCCCTCGCACTCCTGCTGACCCTCTGGAGGGGCTGGGCCCTCCACTTGCAGGCCTCATCACAGCTGCTGTGGGGACAGTCACCGTGACCGTGCTGAGAGGCCCCATTCTTCACGGCCGACACGGTTGCTTTCTCCTTCTTAGGGTCATATTATGCATCCTCGCCTTCCACCCCTGTTCTCTGATCTGCGCTGTCTCTGCTGACCTGCCTCGGGCCCACGCCCCAAGCATCCCGTCTGTGAGGGTTCTCAGTGCCACCTTGGGCGTTTTGTGTCTGCTCCCACGGCTGCGGGTACAACGCGCCCGCCGTACTCCAGACCTTACCTGCCCTCGCCTGACACCCTCCGGGCCTCTCTCCCCTGCTCACTGCTCAGCAGCCGCCCCGGGCTCTGTCCTTCCCTGTCACTCCCCCTGCTGCATGCCCCTCCCTCCTCTGCCTGGGGAGTTTTTGCTCAGAACGTGTTCATGAAACTGGTGACTAGGCTCTGTTGGGGAATTCCATGAGGGTAAGCACTCGGCCTTCCAGGTGAGAGGCAAGGGCCAGAGAGGTCCCCTCTGGGGCGGTGCTGCCCGCCTCACTCCAGCATGTCTCAGAGGCCTGCGTCAGAATCACAGGCAGATTCCCAGAGCACCCTCACCCGCTAAACCCGGTGGGAAGGGGCCGAGGCATCTGGACCCTCTGCCTCCTGCTGCCGGGAGACCTTGCTAGGACAGTGATGGGAGTGCTGGACCACACTTGGAGCGGCAAGTTAGACCCTCATAGCCTCCTGCCCACGGCTGATCAAAACCAAGCCCTACCTCGGCAAACAAAGCGGCCGTAACGGCTCAGACCTGCTTCTCTTGTGCGCCCTGCCAGCGGCCCACACAGACAACTGAGGCCCTCCCCAGCTGCCCCTCCCGCCGTGGAGGCACATGCTGCCCGCAGTTGGGGCGGGGTCCCTGGCTGGAGACTGTGCTCGTGGTGGGGGAGGTCTCATCATGGAGGGGACGGGGCCTGGTCAGAGGGCAGCGAGGACGAGGGCTGGCCACCGAGGCTGCTGGGGAGGCCCTGGCACTCACGTGGTCTCACGGCAGCTGCTTTGCTGGGGGAGCCGCCGAACCTGGCGCTCACTCTTCCTCTGCCGTCCACAAGCTCCGAGAACCTGCAGAGAGGGTGGGAGGGTCACCACAGCCGGAGCGCCACCTTGGTCAGTGGGGCCGACGGGTGGGGCCCGTACCTGGGGGGCTGGGTGGGGGCCTCGGGGGCACTGTGGTCATTGAGTAGGCGCAGTTCCGGCAGGCGTGCTGGGGGCGGTCTGTTCCTGAGCACCCGAGGGTGGTGGCCTCCCTGGTGCCAGCGCCTGTCGGTGTCATCGCTGGGGGCTGCAGAGCAGGCGGGAGGAAGGGGCTGGTCTGGGGCTGCCCTCTGCTCCTGTCCCTGCCCCTGCGGCACAGGAGGCACCTTCCACAGAGGGAGGGGGGTGCGTGTGGGCTGTGGTCATCCAAGGCACATGTGGCTTCCCCAGACGCCCTGGGTTCCTGTCCAGCCCACTTGCCGAGTCCCTTCTGAGAAGCCACGCGCAGCCGTGACACAGACATGCGCTGGCCTGGGAGTCATGAGGAGGGGCTGAGTCTAGGCCCCCCCTCCATCACTCAACCTCTCCAGCTGCAAGGCAGGTGCCCGCCCTCAGGCTGGACTCAGGTCCTAGGCTGCCCTGGGACACAACTGTTTCCCCACACTGGCTTCCTCATAGGACGCTTCACTGGGGGTCCCTGCCCCAGCGCTCACCCTGACAGTGTCCTGCAGCTTCCCAGGCTGGGCCCTCCTTCCCCCTGGGAGCCTCCCTTCCCTCTCAGAGGCCTCAACCTGCCCCTTCCGCCTGGCTGGTGTGCTTGGCCCCGAGCTGGTGGGGCGGGGGTCGGGTCTGAGAACTCGCCCAGCTTGTGCACTTCGTGTCCCCAGCGCAGCCTCATGAGTTAGGGAGGAGCCCAGGGTCGGAACTGGAGCTCCCCCTTCCCTGGGGAGCTGCCCCTGCTCTGCTCCGCCGGCCACTCCTCCCTGCTGGTCTCTTTCTTCTCTTCCTGTTCTGCTCCCCATTTCCCACAGCTCCTTGTGTGAACGTGGAAGACCTAGTTCACAGAAGGAGCCGAGGGGCGTTCAGGACCCGGGTGGAACTGGCAGGGTCGCTTCTGCCCCTCCAGGCAGCTCCTGCCCTACGCTCTGCACCCGGCGTTCCCGCCTGCCTGTGGCCTCCGGGCCCTTCGTGTGTGTGTCCAGCGGCTCCTCATGGGTCAGGCTGGGGTGCAAGGCACTTCGGGGGCTTCCTCCTCACCGCCACCCTCAGCACCGTCTTCAGGTGAGGCTCAGCCTGTCTGGGATCTACAGGAGCTCCGGCACCAGCTGAGGCTCAACGTGCTTGTTATTCAAATTGCTGGTGCCACCTGTCCGTGAGCCCCTCCTTTCCTGGTGGGTTTGGAAAGCCGGCACTTCCACACACAGACTCACTCCCCCTCTGCTACCACAGCCCTGCGTCCAGGCCCCTGCACCGCCAGGTCAGTTGTGAACAGGGTGGAAGGCAGGCCAGCACTGCCCCAGCCCGCCTGCGGCACTCACAGGTGATGATGTACAGGTGCGCGGGCTCGCTGTGCAGCGGCCCCTGCTCCGTGCTCTGCACCGCCGTCACGGACAGCTGGTACCGCTGCCCCGGCAGCAGGTCCCGCAGTGTGTAGGACACCAGCTTCCCACTGGGGACGTAGCGGCTCTTGGCGCTCTGGCTGGTGGTCACATTGATGACGTAAGCCTCCAGCAGGCTGCCTGGAGTCGGGGCGTCCCAGACCACGTGGGCAGAGGTGGCCGTGACTCGGGCGGCCGTCAGGTTTGCTGGAGGCAGGGGCCCTGGACGAGGCAGGAGCAGGGGGAGGTGAGGGGGCCCGTGGGGTCTTCCGGCGAGAACACAGTGTGAGGACCTGACGGGCTGCCGCAGCCTCGCTGGAACCAGATTCTTTATTACAGAGAATGGCACAGCGCTGAGGCGGGCGTGGGGTAGCACGCACAGCAGTGTCTCCCCACCAAGAGGCCTGCAGGCCCCGATGCCACCCTCCCTTTGGGGTAGGAGCCACCCAGGGAAGCCCCCAGGCCCTGGCCCGTCAGCTGGTGCCCTCCCTGCGGTGCTGTCGGAGCCCCGTGCAGACTCCCCTGCCCCACGGGCCTCTCCCAGGCCTTCCCAGGCAGGCCGCACCGGAGTGCACGGTGGGCAGGGGCCTGTCAAGCCTCCGTTCCTCACAGAGGGAGCTGCAGCCTCCTCTCTGCCCAGTTCACCCATCCCCGTCACACCCGCGCGCTGACTGCGTGCTCTCTCCCCTCCCAGGTGCTGGGGAGACAATGAGTTCCTCTGGCCCTCTGGTTGGTACCCAGTAGGAACTCCACACTGAAGAGCTACCAGGAGCGTTTAGGGGTGGAGGCTGCCCTGGACAGCTGACCCAGCACAGGGGCCCCTGCTCAGCCCAGCCCGGCCCAGTGGCCCTAGTGGAAGAGACGTCTGGGAGGCCAGGGCTGGGCTTCTGGCGTTGTGGACGCTTTGGAGAGGACTGGGGGGTGTCAGAGCTTCTGGAAGATGGCCTTTGGTGTGCAGGGGGCCACGCCGCTCTACTCACGGGTCCACACATGTGCTGGTGCAGTGGCCAGGCTCTCCGTGGGGTGCTCCTCTCCTCTGAGCCCACTGAGGGTGGCCAGCTGGATGGTGTACCTCCTCCCGGGCAGCAGGGCCCTGAGGGCGGGAGATGATGAAGGGAGCAGGGACATCGGTGACCTGTGTGCGACTCCGCTGCCAGACCTCAGCTCCCCCAGGCAGGACGTAGCCAACAGGAGGTCGTCCTGCTGCTGGTGGCCCAGGCGGCCTCCACGAGGGGCACACTCATGGCCCTCAGAGCTGTGTGCTCCTGGGGCGGGAAGCCAAGCCGCCGTCTGGGAAGCCGAGGAGGGCTGGGTGCGGTTGGGGCCGCTACAGTGTGGTCGGAGGGCCGGTGTTCAGATGGGAGAGGCCAGAGAAGGGCGACGGGGTCACTGCAGGGACGGATGACAGGCAGGCCCGATGCCCCCTCAGCACAGGTGATTTGATGTAAATTCTCAGGAAACCACAGGGCAACATGAGGCCAACACCAGCCCAGCCAGGGAAGCTGCTGGCTGGAGGCTCCTCCCCTCTGGCTCTGGTCTCTCCGGCACCCCTGCCCGTGCTGAGCAGGAGGTAGAGGCTCTCTCTGGTTGGCGACCAAATCGCAGGTCCACTGCGGGACCCCCGGGAGAGCTCTGGGCT